CCCGAGGCCGCAGAGCCCCCAGAGGAGAGCACAGGGCTCGGCAGCACGGCTGTCCCGGGGCGGCGCGGGCTGGAACTGTGCAAGTCCGCTTACACACGGGCCGTTTCCATAGTGAACGGCACACGCTCCCTGGCCCGAGGGGGGCTGAGCGCGCAGGCGCAGAACCACAGGTGCAGAGGGCCGACTGTCGTTACGTGCAAGGGGTCAGTGCCCCTGACCCGTGACTTGTTCGTGGGTCAGCTGTATTTTGTTAACTCTGTCTCCTCGAGCCAGGGAAGCAAAAGCGAAAATGAATAGGTTTACATCAAATTAGAAAGCTTTTGCTCAGCAAAGGAAGCCACCAACAGAATGAAAAGGCAGCCTGCTGAATGGGCGCCCACGTTCACAAGTGGCGTGTCTGATAAGGGTTAGTGTCCAGAACGTACAAAGAACTCGTATGACTCCACATCAAAGAAGGCAGCTCGACTGAAAAATGGGCAGAGGCTCTGAATAGACATCTTTCTAAAGAAGATACACAGAAGCCAACAGACACAGGAACAGACAGTCCGCGTCGCTGGTGATCGGGAAATGCAGATCAGAACCCTGAGGCATCACCTCACGCCTGTCAGAACGGCCCTTCTCAGAAAGACAGCAAGTACCAAGTGCTGGCGAGGACGTGGGGAAGGGGGGCCCCTTGTGCGCTGCTGGAGGGGGTGTAGACTGGTGCAGCCACTGGAAGACCGCATGGCGGGTCCTCAGAAAGTTAAAGCAGAGCTACCACGTGGTCCCGCAGTTCCGCTCCTGGGTATGAGTCTGAAGAAAACAAAACTCTGATTTGAAAAGACACGTGCACCCCAGCGCTCGTAGCAGCGCTGTGTGCAGTTGCAGAGACATGGCAGCAACTGAGCGCCCACCTCAGACAGGCGGGGAAGGTGTGGTGCGCACAGCGCAGCCATCGTCTTGCTGATGACGTCCTGAAGTGTGAGGTGATAGGTGTCTGTCAGCCACAAAGGGTGGACGCTGGGAATGGCCTAACCCCAGCACTCGTGTTACTTCTTACAGATCTCAAAACTCGGGCATTCAGAGGTAAGAAGAGGAAAGAGCAGTTCGTGCAAAACCCCGCACATGGGGCCAGGCTGGCCGCTCAGTGCACGTGGGAGAGCCAGTTCTGATGATTTTTTTTTCATTTTCATAATTTCATTTTTATAGGAGTATCTTCTCATGGCTGCAGTTGTACATTATGAAAACAGCTTTTCTTTTATGGAGGTGTAGTCGGTTTACAATGCTGTGTCAGTTTCTGGCGTACAGCACAATCTTTCAGTCATATGTGAACATACATATATTCATTTTCATATTCTTTTTCCCCATGAGCTACTGCAACATCTTGTATGTATTTCACTGTGCTGTACAGTGTGAACTTGTTTTTCTATTCTGTATATTCCTGTCAGTATCTACGAATCTCAAACTCCCAGTCTATCCCTTCCCACCCCCTCCCCACCGGCAACCACACGTCTGTATTCTGTGTCTGTGAGTCTGTTTCTGTTTTATACATAAGTTCATTTGTTGTCTATCTTTTTTTTTAGATTCCACATATGAGCGATCTCATATGGTATTTTTCTTTCTCTTTCTGGCTTCCTTGACTTAGGATGACCATCTCCAGGTCCATCCATGTTGCTGCAGATGGCATCGTTCTATTCTTTTTTATGGCTGAGTAGTATTCCGTTATATAAATACAGCACAGTGGTGTCTCTATCCAGTCATCTGTCGACAGACGTTTAGGCTGTCTCCATGTCTTGGCTGTTGTAAATAGCGCTGCTAGGAACACTGGGGCACAGGTATCTTTCTGAAGTAGGGTTCCGTCTGGTTATATGCCCAGGAGTGGGGAAAACACCTTTTTAAAGTATTGAAATAAGTTGAATGAGATACTCGTGTTATGGACACTGCTTCCTCTGTGTGCAGTGTTTGCTCGTGACTTTTGTCAGTACGAGGGCAGGAGCATAAGGCTGAGCACCTGAGACGGCAGAGCAAGCACTCGCCCCACTAGGAGGTGCACTGCGGAGGCCAAGTGGAGGCCAGCTCTGGCCTGTGTGCGCGGTGTGTCGCCCGTGGTGGGTTGGTGACCACACAGTGAACGACCCTCCGGCTGAAGGCCTGAGCCTCCTTGATTGGTCTGCTCCACTGCTCTGTCTGGTCACGTCCGCTCACCCCATGACAGCCTCAGCTCGTTCAGAGGTTGTGTTCAGTGCTGTGACCATGCTGTCCTTTATTACAGGGGCCAGACACCTGCTGAGTCGGATTTCCAGGTGCTTGAAATTGCCCGAAAGTTGGAAATGTACGGCATCAGGTTTCACACGGCCTCTGACCGGGAGGGGGCCCAGATTAAGCTGGCTGTCTCCCACACGGGCGTCCTCGTCTTCCAGGTAGGGGGCCTGGGGGGTGGTTTCCTCACGTTGGGAAGTCTGTTCTGAGGAACAGATCTTGGACGTATCCTCTGATCCGCCCTCTTGCCCAGCAGAGAAGTCATTTTCTTGTCCCGTCCTCACCGTCACATCCGCCGTTCCTTGTAAGCGGGGCTCTGGCTCCTCCGGGGGCAGTGTCCACAGCCGGGTGTGGAGCTGCTGCCCTGAGAGGTCCCACCGCGGCCCAGTCACCATGCACGTGCGCAGAGAGGACAGACTGGAAAACGCAGAGGGCGTTGCGTGTGTGGCGGTCAGGGTGGGCTCCTGTGACGTGTGTGGGTGGTTTTGGGAGGTGAACAGGTACGGAGATGACTGCGGGGCTGTGTCTGCGGGGAGGTGCGTGTGTGCTGGGCTCTCTGGCGTGAGGAGCCGGGAGCCCTCCGCCCAGCGGTCCGGCCCTCCAGGAGCTTCCTGGACACCGGCCCCTGAGCCCTGCACCCAGCTGAGTGGGGCCGTGGAGGCAGTCTGGTCTCAGCGTCCAGGAACCTGCTTCTTAGCCCTTCCCTCTGAGGCCCACCTTCCCCACCAGCGCCTGGAACAGCAGGTCTGATGCAGGCCTCCCTGACCAAGGATACTTGATTTCTTTTTCTTTTCCTTTCTTTTTTTTAACCTTCCCATCAAATTTCAATTTCCTATTAGGAAAAAAAATTGATTTTGCATTTGGAATGTTAATTGTGTTCCATCCTAAGTGCGACATACACACGGTAGCCAGGCCGCTGGGTGGGGAAGGGCGTCCACGCCTGCTCCCCTGGGGGTAGTTCCTTCACTGCACAGAGGGCAGAATCACACCCCTCGGAGTCCGAGGAGAACAGGTAGCTTGTGCCCAGAAGGCACTGTGGAAGCAGGCATCAGAGACTTGAGATTAAAGATGCAGATTGAGTTCGCTTCTGTTCCCAGAGTGACACTGAAGGAGTGTTTTTAAGTCGACGTCAGTGAGAACAAAAGAACGGAAAAGGAGCCACAGAGAACCGGGCATGTCAACAAAGTGTGGGAGCTGGAAACGGGTGGCTGGTGGGACCCGAGGGCGGCCGGGTCGTGTCCCCGAGCCGGGCTGACGCACGGCAGTGCCATCGCCTGGAAGAGGCGCCATTGCTCGGGGGGTGGAGACGTGGTGCTCACAGAAGAGGGGTCGAGGGAGAGCCCGGACTCAGACTGTGGGGCCGCTCGGCCCCGCGGAGCCGGCTGACTGCACCCCAGAAAGTCTGAGCGGTTCGGCAGGGTCCCCGTGGGTGCTGACAGTGGGGCGCCCCTCGGGGACGGGCCTGGGTCCCCCCGGCCCACAGTGCCTGCCAGCCAGCCCTAGAGCCACCTCTCTTAAAGCTTTTCAACGCAAAACACTTTCAAATGGACCAGAAAGCAGTGAAAACTAGGAAAGCACGCAGGGCCCCCCATGCTTGTCACCCAGGCTCGCCCGTCACCACCCCCACCCTGGGGCACATGCTCTCACTCCCTGTGCCTCAGCACACGTGCGCACACCGCAGCGCCTTCTGAAGCGTTTGGGAGTAAGATGCACCCGTCAGGGCCCCCCACCCCAAGAACTTTGTGCTTCCTGAGGACCCGGGCAGCGAGTTGTCATGGACGCAGCTCTTCCGTCTGCCGTGCGAGCTGGTCCCCGTCTTGCAGCTGTCCGGTGACGCCCATGTGGCGCTCGTGCCCTCCAGGGCAGCGCGGGTCTAGCAGCAGGCGCGGTGTTCAGCCACCCACCATCCCTGTGGTTGCCTGTAATCTGGAACACTTCTTTTTTCTTCGTCCTTTATGACGACGGTGCTGAAAGTTATTCCTAATTTGCAGTTGTTGACCGTTTTCCTCGATTAGACTCAGGTGACGCATTCCCAGGTGACGACGTGGCCTCCTCAGAGTCACACCGGAGATGCCGTCTGGCCTCACTGGTGATGTGGCTCTGAGTCCCGTGGTCTCTGGTTCCTCCGTTCTGTGATCACTGCTGTTTCTCTTTCGACTGACAAGCAGTCTGGGGGAAGACGCTTTAAGACGCAGACATCCTGTCTCTCGTCAGTGCCTCGATTTACACCCGCTGTGAGGCTCGCCCGAGCGATGCCTCAGACGGTGGCCAGGGCTCGCCGGGAGCTGGGGGACGCTTCTCTTCAAAGGAAGGATGGTGTCTGGAGGGCAGCACGGAATCTGCAGGAAGAAGAGACTCAGGAGAAGCAGAAACTGCGCCAGGGACGGAGGGAGTGGAAAAACAGCAGAAGCTGCAGTCTGTTGGGCAGGATCCCGCTTGTCATCTGGAGCCGAGCAGGAGAGCTGCCTTACACCGCGTCCCGCCCGCACGGGGCAGGGGCGCTCGCTCGGCAGGACTGCAGGCTCCCCCTGCCATTCCTTACTCTGGCCCTGATGCGACAGTAAGCGTTGGTCCTCGGTTCTCAGGAGGCTGGGTAAATAAAGGGGGGTCCGTCCGTGTTGCAGGGCAGCTGCCCGGAGGATGCGAAGCTCCCTCCATCCTGACGTGTGCAACCTGCTTTGAGACGTGCCGTCAAACGGAGAAGATGTTCAGAGCTGCATACGTGGTTGCTGCCACTTGCAGGGGCAGCTGCACACACACGCGGTCTGTTTGGCCCTGCAGAATGAGCTGGTGTCACCCGGGGCGACGCCCCAGGACGGTCACTGCCCGGCTTTCAGGAGCAATGAGGGGGGACTCGTCATTCTGGACTCATTTTTGGTACCTTTAGAATTTGAACCTTGTTAACATGTTACTGCGTTGCCTTCTTCTGAGAAGCCTCACAGATAAGAGGAAACCTTGCCTCCCGAAACAGGAGCAGGGCGCCTGCACAGGGGCAGGCGGGGCCTGGGCGCAGCAAGTCGGCAAGGCCACAGCGTTTGAAGGGTGAAGTGGCGGAAACCGCACAAAGCAGAATGAAAGATAAAGGATGAAAGGTGGGAGAGAAAAGTAAAACTTCAAGCAGCAATCCAGGAGCCACAACATCCAGGAATATTCTAGAGGCAGGAGCCAAAAAGCAGTGGAGGAAACTGGTAAAGAAATTACATGAGGGAAAACTTCCGCAAGTTAAGGCCCCAGTCCCCAGGCTGAAAGTGCCTGACGGCTCCCAGGGAAACGAATGAGTGACGGTCAGGCCAGAATCAGCTGCAGGAGGCAGGGAAGATGGGGGAGCTTCCCGAAGGAAGGGTGGGAGGAGTTGTAGGGGGTGGTGGCGGGGGCCGGGGGGGCCTGTCCACAGCAGGACTGGAGGCTGGGAGACGACAGGGCGCGGGGCTCAAGTGTGGACGGAAACCTTTTCCAACCTGGAATTGGGTGCCTGGTGCAGCATGGCTTCTGCAGAGAAGGAGAGCATTTTCAGACGTGCAGTGTTTCAAAAACTTAATTCCTGCACATGCTTTTGAGGGTCGAGGGTCGATCCTGGAAGAGAGAATAAACAATTTGAGCGTTGGGGACTCACATCTGCACGGAGGGGGGCGGTGGCTGGGAGCGGGGGGCTCACCCCTGCGGGCCGGGGTGGGGCTCCAGTGCAAGGATGTTCCGCCAACCTGAGAACCAGACTCACTCCAGGTGGGCCCCCCAGAGGGAAACAGAGGGCAGGCTCCTTCCTGTGTTAGGGCGCACTGCAGAGGTAAAGTTCGTCGGGAAGCTTTGGGCTGAACTAGTGACAGGAATGTCAGAAGTTAAGCAAGTGAAAAGAGGCATAACTCAAGGAAGATTAGAGCTAAAGGAGAAAAACATGTATTGGTTGTAACTCCCCCACGCTCAGCTTGCAGGCAGCACCACGTGGTCGGTGACACAGATGCCGAATCTAAGATTTACCAGAAATTGAGGGAGTGTAGAGAAAGCCGGACTGGAGGTCGTGCTGGGGCGAAAGCTCGGGGGGATCTCAAAATGCAAGATGCAGTAACAGCTTCTTCTTCCCTTTCTTTTTTTTCTTTCTCTGTGGAGGTGCTGGGGATTGACCACGGGCCCTTCCGCGTGCTGGGCGCGTGCTCTACCCGTGAGCTCTGCCCACCCGCAGTAGCAGCGTTAAGCATGCTGTTTAGAAGCAGGGGTGAGGAGACAGACGGGGCAAGTCCGGGGCGGGGCAGGGTTGACCCAAGGTGGGCCCGTGGGCCCTGCACGTATCTGGAGCTCCTATTTGGAGCTTAGAGCCGTGCCGTCCATGATCTGGTAACAACCCAGAACGAAAGCCGCGCTCTGAGTGTCCACGCCTGTTAACACCTCAGGGCCTAGAGAGATAGCAGGGGAGGGTCCGGGGCCCTTGGATTCTCTGTCTCTGCTTTTGATCTGTGACAGGACTGAAATCCTGCGCTACGAGAGTTTTGTCCTTTGACCAAAAGAGAAAATGAGGAAGCAGGCAAGCAGCTGGGCACGGCGTCTTCCCGCCGCTTCTGCGTCTTTCTCGGGAGGACGTGCCCGGCCTCGGCCTCCTTGGCGACTGCCTGCTTCTTCAAGCCTGTGCCCTGGCCCCTGATGTCTGGAGTTGAGAGCTGGGCTCATGGAGGGTGTCCCTTTTCTCCCCCTGGTATTTTGTGTGCTAGTTACTTTGTTTGCTTTATCTGAGAGCTTGGTTGTAAACCTTCCAGCATTTGATTCACTTTGAGTAGCGGTTAGAGTTACTTCATGTCTCGGCGGCTTTAGGAGCGAGGATGCCCTGGTTCCCACCTGGACCCTGGTATTTACATCTTGATCTTGAGGGCATCTCTTCACTTGGGAACTTTTTAAATTGAGATGTAATTCACGTAACATAAAATTGACCATTTTAAAGTACGATTCAGCCACTGGTGCATTCGCAGACTTGTGCACTCACCACCGCCGTCCGCTGCCGGGACATTCAGTCCCATCCTCACCCCATCCCTGCTAGCAGCACCCCCGCCCCCGCCCCCACCCGAGCTGCTTTCTCAGTATCTCTGAAGGGAAAACCTTCATCAGCCCCCTACCCCTTGGGTTTGCAGAAAAGAGTAAGTGGTCATGAGAGTCAAGAATAGAAAAGAAATGCCAGGAAAATGTTTCAGCACATTTAAAACTTCTATTCTGAACAAGTGTCGCGCTGACGGAGGAGTGACCAGGACAGCGACCATCCAGATCTCACAGGTTGCCCGACTCGCTGGTGGAGGAGAGGGTCCAGGTTCACAGGCCCTCCCCTCGTGTGTCCCTTGGCTCTGCCGTCGGGAACCTTCTGCGCTTGACCCCAGGAGCTCGGTGCTCTTGCGGGTTCAGGGCCGGTCGCTTTGAAACGCGGGCTCGTCCAGCTCTCGCTGATGGTCAGACCCTCAGCCCAGCCTCAGGCGCGTCGCGGAGGCGAGGGTCACGGGAGCGAGGGTGTGCGAGGTCCAGCCGGGAGGTGGCCATGTCAGTCTGTCCGCTTGCGATCCGCATTTGACAAGCCTCTTTGCCGCAGTTACTTTTTATCCCTCGTCGTTGTGTTCTTGGAAAGATGCCTTGAGACAGTCAGTTTCTGCCCATCCTAGTCACCTGCTGACTGGGCCGCTGCCAGCTGCCAGAGAGACTCTAAAGTCTGTCCCTCGTGCTCCCGGGAGGGTTCCTCCCATTTCTTCAGTTTCTTTATGTCACCGTGGACTCGTGGGTTTGTATTGTAGTCATACTACTGTTTGACTTACAGTAATTCGGGTTGTAATCTTGATGCTCTCCTGCCCCCCGCCCCCCCAAGGGGCAGATTCAAAACCGGCTCCTGTGAACACCTGCAGAAGGGAGTTTGTCGTAAAGCTTCATCAGAGAAATGGGGTTTTCTTTCTGAGACAGAGATCAGTTTGTGTCGTGTTGACGTCTTGCATCAGAGTCACTCTGAATGTGAAACATTGTGGGGGTGGGTGCTGCCTGTTCCGTGAGAAGTTGTGTGTGTCTGACAAGTGTGTGATGCAGTGTCCGCCCCTTGGGTTTCAGAGCACCACCAAAATTAACACTTTCAACTGGTCCAGGCTCCGAAAGCTGAGCTTCAAGAGGAAGAGGTTTCTGATCAAGCTCCACCCAGAGGCCCACGTAAGTGTTACTTTGAGAGCTTCCTAATTATAACAGAACTTACCCTGCTAGAACCCTGAGTCTTTAATTACTTTATGCATCGTTTGAGTGCGATACACCCAAAAACTTAAGGATGGGACATAGGACTGGGGAAGGCTGTGGGGTGACCTGCCCAGCAGTGCTCTCCCAGCGGCCGTGTCGGCCTCCCCCAGGGCTGGTCATCCCACACGTCGCTGGGCCCCCCGAGACTCAGACCTGAGAACGCACCCGTCTGACGGTCCCGCAGTAGCTGGGAACCGCAGCTGCAGGGCGGCCCCCTTTCTGCAGGTGTCGGAGCTGACGCGCTGCGTGCTGCAGTCTGAGGCCCGCCGTGGGTTGGGGTTGAGGGTTCTGTCCGAGTGACCAGGTGGTCCCAGCTGTCTCATGGGTCTTCCTTTCAGAGCCTGGGCCTTGAATAGCTCTAGCTGAAAGAGCCTTGATTTTCAGAAAGTTATGTTCTCTTCTTTTGAGACTGTCAGTCAATAAGGTTGTAATTACATATCACTTTACTGAAATTAGTAAAAATGGAAAAAAGTGAGTGCACAGTCTGATAGCTGGAAAAACCCAATGCTTGGACTGCTCACAGGGGCCCGGCTGCCCCATTTCCACCACGGAACAGGCGCGGGCGCAGGGCAGGTCAGCCGAGCCCGGGCCTGGACGCTGAGGAGGCCGCATCTGGCCTCCGCGGAGCCTGCCGGGTGGCCATGTCAGCCAGCCCCGCCCCCTCCTGCGTGTTCACTGGGGGAGGTGTGAGCAGGCGGCTTGATCGTTTGTGTTCAAATGCCGCTTCTGTGGAGGAAGGGAAGCGTGAGGGAGGCCGGAACCAGCGAGTGCAGGTGAAAGCCTGCTTTCCCCTCTGCCGGTGGAACATGCGCGCCTCCAGCCGTCACTCTGAGGGGGTGGGGGGAGCCGCCGCTCAGCGGGCCAAGGCGGCTCTTCACCGGGGCCGCGTGGCGCCTCGGTTCGGAGCCGAGTCTGTCTCTGCACCTGGCAGAGCTGCACTTCACATCCCGAGGCACTTAGCTTTTTAAGCCTAAACAGAGGGTCAAAGTGTCAGTCCTTCTGGAAAGTAGGTTGGTAACACATCTCGCAGGGTTCAGAAACGTGCGTTGTTTCTGATCTCAGTAGAGCATTTCTAGGCGTTTTCCCTGAGGAATGGCTGAGTGGAAAGGCAACGGGTTCCTCATGGTGGTGTTTGTGAGCCTGGAAACTTTGTGCCCTAGACACACAAACGTCCCCCAGACCCCCTCAGGGCAACGAATCGGTAATAACGCATGAGCAGGTCGAGTGGCCGGGGCGGGGGAGAAAGTCACAAAGGCAAACTTGCAACTGTGGCAGTTGTGTGGTTGTAGATGACTGCGGTTTTCTGGTATCTCTGCAGTGAACATACACACTCCTTCTTCTCTTAGATGTAAGTGGAACCGGAAATCTTTGTATAAAATTTTCAGGAAAAGAGGCTTCCCAGGGGAGGGTGTAGCTCAGCGGTGGAGCGTGTGCTTAGCATGTACGAAGTCCTGGGTTCCATCCCCAGTCCCTCTGTTAAGTAAATAAGTAAATAAATAACCCTCATTACCTCCCCCCAAAACAAAAGAAGAAAGTCTTCCTCATTTTGAAGACTTGGAAACAGCCTGTCGTGTGAAGTGCTTCCTAAACCCCTTCCTGAAGGGGCGACTCACCCTCTGCTTCCAGGGCCCTTACCAGGACACGCTGGAGTTCCTGCTGGGGAGCAGAGACGAGTGTAAGAACTTCTGGAAGATCTGTGTGGAGCACCACACCTTTTTCAGGCTTTCTGATCAGCCAAAGCCAAAGGCCAGAGCAGTCCTCTTCAGCAGAGGGTCCTCCTTCAGATACAGGTGGGCGCAGGGGCCTGGCTTGTCTGTAGAGCCGAGTCAGGGAGGGGGCTGTGCGTGTCTCAGAGCGTCCTGTGCGCTGCAGCCACTGCAGAGCCACAGGGAGCCTGGCCAGTAGAACGGGGAGCAGGCTTAAGGAAATGCCGTCACGCTTGAGAGCAAAGAATGACTTCTCAGTGCGTATGTAAGTTTATGAGAGGGAATGAGCAAGCCTCTCCTCTGCTTTGCTTTTGTGAGAAATTAAGGCTGTGAATTTCTGTGTGTTCTTTTCTCTGAAACCTGCCCCTCTACTCACAGTGGAAGAACTCAGAAACAGCTTGTGGATTACGTGAGAGTCGGGGGGGTGAAGAGGACTCCGTATGAAAGGTAAAGTCTTTCTGATGCAAAGTGCCTGCTTTTAAAGTGAACGTTGTAAGGGGAGCGTAGAGCAGCGCGTGTTAGCACGCACACGGTCCGGGGTTCAACCCCCAGTCCCTCCTCCAAAAATAAGCCAGATTACCTCGTCCCCCCAAAATAAAGTTAACGCTGTAAATATTTTAAGCTTTATTTGAATGAAAGGCATTTCAAATACATAAACATTGAGCTCCATTTTTTAATTTCTTAAGATAGGTTTTGTAATACCTCTTACAGTTATCACAGGCAAATCCAGATAATGCTTTTTGGTTTCTAGTCTGTATCACTCAACTTGTATGTAATGTTTTTACAGCGTGTGATTAACTTTGAGTCTGCAAACCCGTGTTTCTTTGCATGTGGAATGTTTCCTTTCGGGGGCTGCCTTACCTCTCCTGGGACCTCTGTTTTTCGTTTGGATTCCTGTTTCCTACTGTCCTGCCGCTCCTGCTTAGATGGCGCACGGCATGTTGTCAGTCCGCGCTGCATTTTTGTGTGAGCTCTTCCTCACTGCACAGCGCGTGCTGGTTTAAAAACAGGCGTCAGGCTCTTGGCTCACGACCTGTCCTCTGTTCGCAGGAGACACAGCAAGACTCGGGTGTCGCTCCACACGCTGACTGCGGACTTGCCAAGGCAGGTTGGTCCTTCTGGTTAAGACGAACACATTGTTAACCACCTGTTCTCTTTTGGAAAATAATCTGGCCATGTTGTAACAAGAGTCATAAACGTAGTCTTGTCATTCACTCAGCAGTTCCAATCCTGGGACCGTTTGCAGAAAGGAGCTGAGTGAAGAGAAAGCTGTGCAGTGAGGTGTGCTGTGTGTCACAGTCCTGGTGACACCACCCTCTGTGCTGGGGGACTCACCAGCCGTTTGGGTGTGTCCATTTGAAAGTCTTGTTTCAGAAGGACAGCGCACGTGAGCGGGACGCGTTCAGAGTGTGTTAAGGACCAGCAGGTGGCAGACCAGCCCTTGTGATGCGCGGTCCTCAGTGTGACTGACGGAGGCAGACAGCTGGGGTTGCACAGCTCGGTGGGAGAGTGCGTGCCCAGCGTGCACACAGTCCTGGGTTCCCTTGCAGTCTCTCCATGAAATGAATAAATAAACCAAATTACCTCCCCTTCCCAAAAAGCAAAGCAAGACAGAAAAAGAATTAAGAAGACAGGTGGATGTACACAGGCTCAGCCCCACCACGTGGGGTGTCGCCTCCGGGCGATCGGATTCCGAGCACGTCTCACCTTCTCTCTGTGCTTTTCGTTTGTTTCTGTGGAAGCTCAGTGCTTTTTGGTGTCAGGAAACGAGTGAGTGAGCACGACGTCTGTGAAGGCCTGAAGCAGCGTCGAGTGCAGGTTTAGGGAGACGATCTACTTAATTAAGCTGTATTCATGGGGTGGGACTTCTTGCTATTTATTATGTTAAGGGTGAAGAGCAAGAAACACACGCTGCCTGTGCTTGGTGTGGTCACAGCTGTCAGCACAGACGCACAGGTGCACGCACGGAAGGCATTTGTGAGGGTGGGACAGCGGCGCCGTGTCACGAGGGCAGCACGTCGGCGACTCTGCGTCTCAGAGCGCCCGCCGCTCCGCGCTCGGCCTGCTCCCACGACCACCGCCGGCAAGCCCGTCTTTACGTGGTTGCTCTTTCCATGCAGTGTTCTTTCTCTGCAGCTGTGTGGTCTCGTCACTGTCGTTTCCTGTCGCTGCGCGGTGTCACTTTGCAGTGACGGTGACCCCGGGAGCTATGCTTGTACCTCATGTATCGTGTGTCCCGAACTTTTTTAAAACTGGATCTTTTAAGTAAAAACATTCTTTAACTCTTCTAGGTATGTTTTCTATTTAGGAATTCTTTGCTAAATCAATGGAAATTTAAAGAATTTATTTTTGTTTCTTTAACAAAGTCCAAATTCACTAACAGCCTTAAAGTCACATTCAGGCTTTCAGTCCTCTGATTCCGTCCTTTAAAAGCCACAGGGATATTAAATGTGGTCGGATGGTTACGGAGAAGTGGCACGACAAGCTTGTGGAGACAGGTTCGCCCTGTGGGCTGCGTGCTGCCGCGGCGTCTGGAGAAGCTCGGCTGCTCCTGCGCGGCCGCACGCTGGGCACGCGCTCGCCTGCTCGCGGAGAAGGATGTTCAGACGATTCGGTTCTGCTTTGGTCTGACCGCCCTCCTGTGGGGTCGTGTTCAGGTGGCGCAGGGTCTTCTGGAAGCATGACCGTGTCCTCGCATGTGGGGCCCTGCGTGAGGACGCGTGCAGGGTGCCTGGGGTGGCGAGTGGCGTGCTGCACCACTGGGCTTCTCCCAGGCCTCTTCCCGTTCGCACTCGGGGCTGCTCCCGGGCTTCCCAGGCGCCTCCGGGCTCCGGGGCTGGCGGCGTCAGCCCGGCCTCGTCTCCGTGGGAGGAGCGAGGGCGCCGAAACCTCTTAGCACCCACGGTGACCTCCGACGAGGAGCCTTGTCCCCAGCCATGGCTTTGCTCCAGGGTTTTGGGAGCTGGGTGGCAGCTCGCCCCTCCTCCAGCGTCTCACCCCCGGAGGACGACGGATGCCTGCAGCATCCTGGAGCTGCAGGCGGCACGAGGTGTTAGTGATGGAGGCCATCTCTGCTGGAGGCATTCAGTGCCTCCTGCGGAGGAAAAGTGGAGTTATAAGGGACTGTAAACAGATGGCCCTGGGTCCTTTTGAAGCCCTGTCTGCATTTACAGACGTCCAGCTCTCAAAGGAGAAGCCTGGTCCGAAGCTGTTCTAGAGTCGTGGGGATGTACTGATTTGGGCCCAGTTGGCTCTGTGACTTTCTAGTGGTAATTTGTAATGTTTTGTGTTCCCTTTTTTCTTTCCCTCGTTTTGATCCCCAGAGCATCTCTTTCCCTGAGGGCATGAGGACTCCTGCATCCCCGTCGGCGACAAATGCCTCCTTCTGTTCAGTCCCCGCCTCCCCGCCAGCCCCTCCGGGCCCACTCCATTGCCAGGACAGAAGCGGCTCCCTGCCGCCGCCCCCGGCTCCTGACACCAAGCGGCCAGCAGCAGAGAGGAGCGGCAGCCCCGACACGAGCCAGGCCCAGCCCCCCCGGCCCCCTGCACTCCAGCCTTGTCAAGGTGTTGGGTCTTGTCGTGTTGTGAGGAGCTGCAGTGCCAGCAGTCCCACAGGGCGGGACCTCGGTGCCCTAGACCTAGATGCAGGGGGGGGCCGGCAGGGAGCGCCAGGCCGCAGGGAGAAGTGACCGTGGGGAGGGTGGCATGACTGTGTGCTCGTCCCCGTCTGGGGGGGGCTCCCCACATGGCTGGCAGAGCAGCAGGGGAGCCCCTATTTTCACATTGACAAGCGCCCGGCTGCAGGTGTCCGAGGAGTTCATAGACGATGACCCAGCAGACATCTCCTTCTTCGCCGGGGGCTCTGAGGCCTTCTCTTTCCCCTACGGCAGTTTGGCCCCGGAGGCCCCACTGTGCAGCCCCCCAGGGTCCGGCCTGTCTAGCCCAGACAGGTCCTCCCCTGAGGCAGCCCGCAGGAGCACGGAGCTCAGCTTCGAGTTTGGGGGGGAGGGCAGCCCTGGTGGCGACGTGCGCCCGGCAGACGCGTCGGAGCTGTTGGAGGTGAAGGCCCAGGCCAGCCTGATGCAGCGTCTGCTGAGCCCGTCCGAGACCAGCTCGCTCAGCAACACGCCACTGCACGGCGGCCTGTCCATGCACACGCCCAGCTCCGCCAGCCAGTCTGAGGCCAGCTCCATGGCCAACTTCCCGGCATGCTCGGTCCGCTCCGAGGCCAGCTCAGCCTTCCAGTTCTCAGACATCATTGACCAGTTAGAGCAGGTCAGCTACCCGCCCACGACGGCCGAGGCCTCGAGCAGCAGTGACACAGACTCCTGGGGCTCCGAGCCTGAGACCCCCCCAGACGTGAGCCTTTTCTTCAGTAACCCCTTTGCACAGACGAGGGGCGAGAGAGTCATTTTTGATTTGCAGAATAACATAAAGAATTTGACTCCAGGAGAGCGGATAGATGAGAACCCCTCCTGACCGTCCCCGGGCTCCCTCGTGGGACGACCCGCCCACTGCTCGGTGGAGCGAGAGCCCAGGTCGTCGGCTTTAGGCATAGAGGGTGCTTTTGTGTTCATGGCTAGACGTTCTTTTCTTCTTCTGATTCTCTGATTGATTGTTCTGTCTTGGATGTTAGAAATTAAAACTTCTGCTTGAATTGGCGTTAAAAGCTATGCATCACACGTGAAATGAATGAGCATTTCTGGCCAGTCCTCCTGGGCAGCAGGTGAATTAGTCTTTGCAGCTTAATTTTTTTGACACTTGCTTTGATTCAACTGGTGCCGAGCATTTGAACATGACGCAGTTCGGACTTGTGTTGCTCTTTGACAGAACACGTGCCCCTCCTGACACTGCCCGTGAGTAACCCAGACGAAGGCTTGTTTGATTTGACCGCACAAAACCCAAGTCCTGAGGTGGGCAGTGGTCCTCAGCTGCACGGGCAGGGTCCCTGAGCTGCCCAGGTGTGTCTCCGTGCCAAAGGTGTCGCCTCCATGCCAGACCTGGAAACAGCTGAGCTGGGAGAAGCACTGGTTTAAAATGCAGTGTCAGTGGAAACTGTTCCCTTCTTTCTAGCTTGCTCGGGGGTGCACTACACATTGTTTGCAGGAAAAGCAGAACCGACCCGCTGGAGAGTCGTAGTGTAAGGTGGGATCAGCGAGCCGTTCCTCTGGGCGGATAGGAGGCTGTTCCCTGGGAAGAGGCAGCACCCTGGGTCTCCCTGGGACTCTTTTCAGGAATGTTTCCTTGGGGTCCAGCAGTTTGCAGTACAGAGTTCCTGGCCGGCTCTAAAAGACCCAGTCACAGGGGCCGCCTGCCCCGAGGCGTGGGAAAGGCCTTGCGAGCCTACGGTGGCCGTGCCCCGCGGGCAGCAGGGTCTGCACCCCTGCTGATGCCAGCCCGGCGCTCCCGCCGCAGCCCGGACGTCCCTCCAGGGGAGAGGCCCCTGCCGGGTGGCCTGGCGCCCTCGAGGGCCGGGCACGACAGGCTGGACAGACACAGCTGAGCGTCTGGGCTGTGTTTCTCCTCTGCTCTGACGACAAACAGCAGCACATTTAAGGTCCGTCTTCCTCCTGAAGGTGCCGTCCTTGCCGGGGCCTCTCTCCATGTCAGCCTTCTTCCATCAGTGCCGATCAGATACCAGCAGGGGCTCCTGGCTAAACATGGTGAGCACTTGTCCCGCTCTTGTGGCTGCCTCAGCCCTGCGCCGCCGTGCCCCGGCGCTGGTGCTGCACGCCCGCCTCCTCTGTGCTCTAGGCAGCGGGCGCGCGCCCGTGACCGGCATCTGCGACTGCAGTAAACGTGGTGTGTGTGGTCTTGACTCACTGATGAGCATAGTGTATTTGGGATGTTTTGGGTTTTTGTGTGTCACTCAGCACACCTTGGCCCTGTGTGCTGAGAGGCTAGCACAGAGACCATCCATTTCAAGTGCTCTTCCTGTGTCTTAGCACGGCGGCCTCTGTCCTCGATGGTGCCTGTCCTTCCTCTCCCCCGCGGGACCCCGCCTGGCACCCGGGCAGGAGGTGGCTATGCGGCCGGGGCGCGGACGCGGGGTGGCCACGCGCTGCTCTTGGAGGTTGGGAGTAAGCTCTGTTCTCGGCATCTCTGCTCGGCCTTCTCATAAGAGGGTTTTGCTTTGCTTCTTCAATGAAACTTCACTTTCTGGAGATGACTGTTAGCTCTTTGTTGAGGGAGTTTTCAGAACACGCAGAAGCGGAAGAGGACTGTCCTGACGGAGTCCTCGTGCCCCGGTGGCGGTGCCGTGTGGACGTGCCTGGACCCCAGCCCTTCTCCCCTTGGGTGTTGCCCCTGACGTGCTGATGACCCCCCTCAGAATTTCTCATGTGTCTCTGAGACACAATGACACCCCTCACATAACCCCACACAGACACCATCCCACAAAATGTACAGTCCCTTGGTGTCATCTAAAATCATGGACGTACTTAAATTTGCTCAGTTGTCCAAAGTGCCTAATAACGTTTGGTGTTCAGATCAGGATCCAAACACGGTCTGCTTGCTGCCTGTGACTGTGATGGCTCCTGGGTCCCCTTTCCCTTTGAAGACTCCCTTCTTTGCCAGTGACTCACAGAGAAGCCAGGCCAGTCCTGCCTCGAGTCCCACAGCCTGGCCGGCTCACCCCTCGGGCCTCTGCACCACTGTCCCTGAGCTGCGCTGACCGCCGGCCCTCACCCCCGACTTGCAGCAGCCGCGTCCCCGTGGCCTGTGACACTGCTGGTGAAGGTGTCGTTTTCAGATTCGGGGGTAGCTTTTTGGTAAGATTTGGAGGAGTTTTGGACAACTTTCCTTTTCCAGAATGTTCATATTTTCAAGTTTACAGCTTTTCTTTTATAATGAAATCATGTATTTAAAAGCCAGTTGTGAAAGTGCACAGGCGAAAAAAAACACTTGGGGCTTCTTTGGACTCAAGAAAGTGGGGGAAGCCCCACCTGGGGGCCCTTCAGAAGCCGAAGGATGTTTCCTGCCACCGTCGTGGCTCCTGCTGGTGGCGTGAGCAGCGCCCTGGGGTGCTTCACCTCAGCGAGAGGTGGTTGTAGTAAACGTGCAGAAGTCCAGAGCAGCTCCAGCCGAAGACCTCTGATCACGATGACCTTTTCTTCGAAAACCTGTTGTGTGGTGACCCCACCTGGGAAGGGCGATGTCATAGACCCGGACGACAGGACAGGTGTTCAGATTTGAGTGGAATCTGTGGATTTGTAACCAGCACCTCTCGCACCGGGAGCCGGTCTGCTGCGAGCGTAGGTGAAGCCCCTGGGAAGCGCTGACACTTTGTCGCTCTCCTCGCGGGAGGGCCATCCCCACCCCAGCGGTCCCCAGGCCGCGCAGCCCCAGGGCTGTGCCTCTTGTCCCCGCCAAGTCCACCTCTGGCAGTTAATGCGCTCTGCCGTGGTAGAATGTCTGTTTTCACTCGTTGCGGCTCTGTTTTGTATTCAAGTTTCCAGACTCCGACTGTTCTCCACCAGCCAGGGCGCCGGTGTGTAGGTCTGACAGCGCTGCAGCTTCACGGTGGTGGTGGCGGTGGCGCGTCCTGGCCCGCGGCTTTTCGTATTTCGCAGGAATTCTCTAAGCGTGGAGTCGGATCAGGGCCCCTTTCAGCAGCAGGCGCAGCAGGGGCCGGGCAGCGGAGCCGCGGGAGTGGGAACGAGCGCTGGCGTCACTCTGCTGCTCCGCGTGGGTGCCCTGTGCCATGTGGTCCCCGGCCTGTGTGACATACGAACGGTGCATGGACCGCGCACCTGTGTGCCGACGTGTGACGCCAGTGCCTGTGTCTTCGGGGTACAGTTGTGTCCTCCCGGTTTGTGGAACAGAGCCGCTGCAAGAAAATGTCGAGATTCTCAGGCTCTTGAAGTCTGGAGAATTTAGCATCTGTTCTCAAGGCCACAGAGTCCCCTTTGGGGCTTTGCTTTGGCCCCTGTCCTGAGGTTGCAGAGCGTGTCAGAGCTAGCCGGGGCGCGGGGGCTGCCGTCGGCCCTTCTCCACACAGCGGCCCTGGGTGCGTCTTTCGCATGGAAGCGCCATCGTGCCCTGGGAAGTGAGGAGCGAGGCAGCGCCAGTTCCCTGGGCATCGAAACGGCTTGTTCTGTAAAGAGACGTGATGTTGCTTCGTTTCTGGTGCTTGGAAGTGTTTCCCACTAAAATTGCCATTTATAAACTTGCAGATGTGTATTAATTCAGAAGTTCTTCATTGTTCATTCAATAAAATAAGGAAATGTTTGCTATGGATTTGTAATGGAGTTTTTAGCTTCCTTTCCATCCACTTGCTTAGGGTCCGACTTCCATGCCTCAGAGGTAATCTTACATTAAACGCATCCCTGGAACAGCCACGTGTCTCTTCACATCTTCCCCGACATCTCTTTCTTCACAGGCTTCTGAGCAGCCCGTGGGCCCCGAGGTGCCTGCAGATGGTGTTGGGTGTGGGCGCTGGCGTCCCCAAGGGCCATGGGGGAGGCACCCGGCTTTTCTCGGCAGCCCGCGGGCTCCACGTGCAGGCCCGGGCAGAGCTCGCCTCTGAGGTGCCAGCCACAGGCTGCACTGCTGGCAGCTTTTGGGGGTGAACCACGTGGTCCCTGGCTCGTCCTCTGCACAGAACACGTGCTGGGGGTTAAGTCGAAAATGAAACCGTTATCAACCCCCCTCCCCCAGCCAGTGAGCCCCCCGTGACCCTCCTGACCTGAAGCCTGGCTGCTGCTGGGCTCCCGAGCAGGTCTCCTTCCCCGACACCTCACCGGGCTCCCCTCCCTACCATGCAGGCCTCCCCTGCCTCCATGTAGCTGCACGCACCTCTCCAGCCCCACACGGGTCTTGGGGTGCCTGTGGGTACCGCCCCACGTCCTGGGCAGCGGCTGCAGCAAGCCTTGTGAGGACAGGACGCTCGGGGCCGGGGGCTCCTGCGGGCCGGGGCCTGGCCCCCTCCCCGGGGTCTCAAGGCTCCTGGCACCCAGTGTGGTGGGGATGGGAGGCACCTGTTGGCACCAAACCCCTCCAGGAGCCTGCGGTCACATCCCCACTTAGAGGAGCGGACAGCAGATCACAGGAGTGTCACATGGGCACTGGTCCCTGACTGATGCCACCGCTGTCCAGCACCGCCACTTGGGGACAAGGAGGCGACACCTCGGTGATAAATCCAGATTTCAAGATACAGCTGGAGAGCATTTCTCCATTAGTCTACAGTTGACCGGCTGGGAGGGTGACATCCACGTGGCCTTTGTTTCCCAGGTGTGTTTGCTCAGGTCACCTCTCTCTCCTGAGGACGGGACCTGTGAGCTTTCTAGTTTACCTGAATGTTGTTTTGGGGACCTTGCCTCGGTCCTCCAGTCGTGCAGAAGATCCGTAAGTCACAGCTTCTCAAACTTAGGACAACACGTGTCACTTACAAGAACGAGGCGCGGAGCACCCTGGACCACCCCTGGGTGTTGCGCACGGGAGGCCCCACACCTGGTGGACGTAACCCCAGCAGACGGCCCAAAGTGTGACTGAGTTGTAGAAAAAGGAAGAACTTCGGGAAACGCTTCTTGGGAGGGCCGTGGGGGTAGACGTCACCCTCTGGATTTCAGGTGACCAGGCCACTCCCAGGCTAGCCCGTGGCCCCCGGGTGAGCGGTGGACACACGGGAGAAAGGGATGAGCTGGCGCTCAGGATTGGCCACTTTTCTACCCCCACTGGCATATTTGAGCCAGATTTCATACAAAAATGAATTGTGACGTCCGTGTTCAAAAGTGGAGCCAGGAGTGGTTCTCCATGGACTCGTCGGGGTCACGTTTACCTGGACTCCTTGGACAGGTCACCTCTGCCCTTCCTCACGGGATTGATGACTGTTGCTCAAGCCGTAGGGGTTTCTAGGCCCTCTGTCGTGTCAGCCTTCAGACCTGACCCGGGACTCTCCAACCTGGAGCTGACTCCCGCTCCACTGTTAGGCAGGAATTCTCAGGATTGCTTATTACAGAGTTTTGAAGAAGAGAATTTAAAAGCATGAAACAGAAGTCGCTGAGGTCCCTCCAAATGTGGCTTTTCCTTCGTCAGCTGACTGGAGAACAGCATGGGACGCAAGCACAGAGCTGCGCATCTCAAAGCAATGGCAGAAGCCGTCTGCCGCGCGTGGCCCGCTGCTGGCTGTGGGGGAGAGAAGGTTTAAGCTGAGGTGCTCTTTGGACGATGATCAGCCTTTGCAGCTGCCGCTCTGGGGACGGGCCGTCTGTGAGCCACTCCAGCGGGTGGCGCTCAGTGCAGCGTAACTGCCCTTGTGCCGTCCGCTCCAGAGAGCTTACTTCTGGAAACTGCCGGCGTTTCTTGTCTGCAGGGGGTGGTGGGCGCGCAGCCATGGTGAGCGATAGACCGCCTCCTACGCGTTGTGGGCCCACAGTGAGGCTCCTGTGACTCAGAATGGTGCCAGCTCTTTCTGGCTGTAGACAGCCTCCAGTGGAGGACGACCTTGCACGCAGGGGCCTGCTTTTACAAACGTGGAAGATTATTTGCCGAGTCAGTCAGGGCTAGATGCGTTCTGCCTGCAGCGTGATGCTGAGCACTGAGCCGGCTGGCTGCGCACCCAGCACGCGGGGCCTGGGCCCCTTGAGCTTCGCTCTGCCCGGCACTCCCGGAAGCTCGCCAGTGGGGCCCCGGACCCGCACGTTCCGGCCGTGGGTCCCGCAGCACAAGGACAGTGGCCTGCGCTCTCCCACATCCTTGAGTTCAGGGGGGTCCACGTTAACTGCCGCCTGCTCGAAAACCATCTCCCCGCAGATGGAGCTTCTGTGTTTACAAAGTCTGATATAGGTATGATTTCTCATGCTTGGCTCTAGCTGACAGATTTAATAAAACCAAATGTTTAATGTCAGTTTGTGGTGCTTTTTAATCTCATCACTAAATTGAGAGTTGACGATTTTTGTGAAACCGTGAAGTACAGTTGCCCCCGGTATTCGCAGGGGTTGGCTCCAGGACCCCGCAGACAGCAGGACCCTCATGTGAAAGTCTCTTGCGTGAAACAGTGCAGCATTTGCACGTAACCTCCACACGTCCTGCTGTGTGTGTTAAACCATCTCTCCATGACTTGTGATCGTAGTACAGCGTCAATGCTATGTAACTTACCAGCATGGCAAATGCAAAGGCTGCTTTCTGGAACTTTCTGGAATTTTTCTCCCAAGTATATTCGGTCCTCGGTTAGGTGAACCTGCAGGTTTGGAACCTTCAGGTACAGACAGCAGCTGTCTCTGCAGGATAACATCAAATGATGGCTCCAACCTCCCTCGAAACAAAGTAGTTTATCCCAGATGAGCTGCCAGTCCCAAAGGGGGTTTCCTTCCAGCACCAACCACCTCTTTACCAAGGGGCTTCGATCCTCTGATTTGCCCCCACAGCCTGGCCCGTCTGCACCCCCATCACATGAGGCAACCACCACCTCAAGTTTCAGCTTCTGCTGTTTGAATAAATCAAGTTTTGCAGCACCTTTTTGGTGAAGTGTCCACTGGTAGCTTCCTGTAGGACGGCCCATCATGGAGGGAGGAGCTATGTGGGCTGCTGGGAGGCGTGGAGTCAGACTGCGGACGTCCCTGGTAACCGGTGAGTGTCAGCAGCTTGGCTCTCACACCTCCAACAACACGATTGTGAAGAATAAATAGACTGTTAGTAGCTTCTGGACCTGTTCTCAGCTCTGAATGTGTAAAGGCATCTCACTGCAGTGCTGGGCTGTTTAGGGACTGAAAGGGGTTTGGGGCGTGAATCCTGAATAGCTCATCTTTGGAAACGTGCCTCGTCTCCACGGAGGAAGGGGCCACACTCCCAGCACAGCCCGGAGCCTTTGGGTCAGATTTGGTTCCTTCGGGTGTGACTGAGTCCACGCAGGCCTGCTGTGGGGGGAGGGGACGTAGGAATTTTGCACGATTTTAAGGTTGCTTAGCATATTTTAAATGTGTGATCAGATTTCCATAAACTGGTTCTAATAGTTTCACGTCCGAATGTCATCCAGGTTTCCTGGCGTCAGGGAACAGCTCCCTGTGTCTTAGGCCTGTGGCCCTGTGAGGACCCTGAGGAAAGCTCGGCCATCTGGCTCATCCTGGAAGCCTGGGGTGCGACCCCACCTGCAGGCTCCGTCTTCCCTGAACTCTGAACTTGTCAATGTGAAAATAAGGGCTCCTCCCGCCCCCAGGCCATGTTGGAGGGCTGCTGTGGGGTCTTGTGCCAGGCCGGCCGGCGGGCACTCTGCAGCCGCCTCCCCGCACACTTCGGGCTGAATGAACCAACTGGCCACTGTAGGCGCCTGTGCTGGGTCCCCGGCGCGTGTGGTATGACGGGGTCTCACTCTGAAGCCTGTCGTGAGTGGAGCGAGGAGGCCCCAGGGGTCTGAGTTCAGTTGCTGCTGTTCCAGCGCTTTGCAAGCCAACCTAGTCATTATACTCAGAGATGGTGGTGGGTTGGGTGTTAAAACTCTACACGTTTATAAATCTGAGGTAAATTTCTGTCTTAAATCATTTTAAACTGCACTTAGATTTCCCGCCTGTAACTCTGCATTAAGGTGTCTTTCAGGTTTGGCATTTAATACTTCCTAATTCACCATAGAAAAACATTAGAAGTAATTAGAACCTTGGAGAATTTTATTTATTACAGAATGTTTGACAGACTATACCTCATAGCCTCCTCAGAACGAGACCAAAATTTTGGTTTCTCTCTAGTTAAAAGCAAACATTGCTTTAAGAAGGGAAAAAATTTAAGTATCAGATTACTTTTGTGGTATAATTCCATAGAACCAAAATAGAATCCTTGTTCATGGACAGCTCAGGGGAGCGGAGACCAGTATGTGAGTGGCTCTGCGTGGTCCAGCCTTAGACGCATGGCAGACGGCGTCTCCCCTGGGTCAGCCGGCCTGGTCTGGACTCACCCATGTGTGGCCCCAGCCCCCGCATCCCGGCACAGCCATGCGCCCCGAGGCCCTCTGAGGACCGGGTCACCGGCCGCCCTCTGCCACACTGCGGCCTGTGTGTGGTCCAGGCTCTGCCTGCCTGTTTACCCCGGGGCCTCTTGTCTGCCCACATCCGCCCTTTCTCATCTCTCCCCATCGCCCCGTTCACTTCCAGGCCTTTCTGTGGAGAGTCCTCTGCCTTCTCCTTCCGCCCAGAGGAGCCCACCGAGCCTGAGCCCCGCATCCCAGGTGCCTCTGGGCCCAGCTGAGCAGGGCCTGAGCCCCGTCCTCAGCGACGCTGGCGGAGCTGGGATGGACGACCAGGAGGAGCCGAGACACAAGGTGGGCGGGGGCTTGCTGCGGGGCCTGTGTTTGCAAACCTCCTGGGCTGGGGGTGGTGGAGCGGGTGGGGGCTGGCCCCCCAGTATCTCACCCTGAGACCCACCAGCACCTCCGGCCAAGACTGGGCTCGTGCCTTTGACGGTGGAAGGCTGGTCCTGGGGGCGTGGGGCCCACAGCCTCCCCACTCCCTGCTTTTCTGGGCTGGGAGGAGGTCTGGGTGCCAAGGGGGGCTTTCCTGAGGGCCCCACCTTGTCTGGGGCCAAGGGAGGTGCTGGGGCTGGAAGCTGCGGTGGGTCCTGGGAGAGCGTCCGGGTGTGGGTGCTGGGCAGCAGGAGGGGCTTGGGCGTGTGTGTTCACAGTGGAGGGTGGAGGCAGCTTCGGAAGCGGTGACACTGTGGCCTCATGGCCACCTCCGTGGGCTCCCCTTCTCCTGCCGGCCCCCAGATTCACTCGGGGGAGCCGCCAGGTTCACTGACGAGTCTCCTGGCAGGGCCTGGGGCCACGTCTGTGTTCCTAAGCCCCACAGTCGCACACGGGCTGGAAACCCGCTGGCCAAGCCCTGGGCTCCCGCCTTTGCCCCTGGCTGCCTTGCCGTGTGCCCGCTTGTTTCCCACCAAACATGCTGTTTCCGCTGTTTAATAAGAAATTGGTGAGGACCCACCGTGTTGGAAAGGTGTGCAGGTAGCAGGTGCCCCTCCACCTGCTGTGGGCACTGCACTGTGGGGGCGGCAGCAGCGCACCACACAGAGCACAGTTCCCTCCCTCTGCCCTGACTGGCGGCCTGGGCAGGTCTGTCTGGGGTGCGGCCGGCAGAGCAGCTGCCGTTCTGCTTTCTCTCCACTGAGTTTCCCAAGGTGTTCTTTGCCCTGGAAACCAGAGGTCAGCCCCAGGCCACACAAGCCACCATCCACAAGCTGCTCCTGACTGCTGCATACGTGTCCCCAGTCCGTACCGGACTCCAGACCAAAACTGGGATGCCCGGCTGAGGGGGTACCAGGGCAGGGAGGGCCAGGGCCTCCCAGACCGTGAACGTGGGCCTCTCTGGGGCAGTTCTGACCCCAGAGAGCTCACTGGGCATGCAAGCTCTGGGCGGGATATGGCATCTTAAAGAGATTTTACTGAATTTGTATTTGAAAAAGTCATTTTTTAATAGTACAAAGCCCAAAAAGAAATCGAAGAGCCTGAAGTTTGGAAAGGTGACTCGCAGCTCCAGGGCAGTGTGAGGGCAGAGCTGCAAGGGACGAGGTGGGACTCCCAGGAGATGCTGCAGGGCTGGCTGCCAGCAGGGGTTTGGGAAAAGCTACTGTGAGAAGCAGCCAGCAGACGTTTGAGGGAAGGAAGGGAAGACAGCAGGCAGCTGTGAAGACCAGGTGGAGCCTCCTGGTTTCCCCATGGCCCAGAGGGCGGCCGCCAGAGCAGTGGCCTCTAGGACACATGGGAGGAGCAGCTTTGCTGCCACAACCTCAGGTGGACGGGCCCAGGGGAGAAGTCGGCCTTCAGGCTCCGCCTCCAGCCCACTTCCTTTCCCAGCTGGCTTCTCGCTGCTGGCTCAGACCTGACACCGACCTTCCTCCCCAAACCCATCCCCTGTGGCCTTCCCCAGCACTCTTTCCCTTGGCATCCTCGGAACCGGCCTCAGAATGTGTGGGGAGCCCCTCACACCCCTCCCTTGAGCCTCCTGACCAGCTGGGCTCTCCAGACGCATCCTGGGGCCAGCACACCATGATGTGCTCAGATAGACCCCCAGAGATCTTGCCTTCCCCCAGGGACCACCTCTCTCACCTGCCACCCACCCTCCCCTCATCCTTGACCTCTGAGCTGGCCCCACCTCCCAAGGTGCCCCACCCTCTCGAGGAGGCAGCCGGCCTCCCTGCCTCCACCTCCACTCCCACCTGCTCCCTTTTTGTCCTGTGACTTGCTGCCCAGACCCGTGACTTCCCCAGGAGCTGGGGTTGCTTCCTCCCTGTTTCCTCCTAGGAGGCCTCAGCACAAGGGCAGGGACCTCTGTTCCTGGGCGTGTCCCAGGACGCAGGGAAGGTCAGCCGTAAGTCAGTCCTCGATGTGTGGGATGTGTGGAGGAGCAGGAGCAGGCATAGGGGCGTCTGCCAGGTGGGAGAGGTGGAGGAGGGGCCGTGGAGCGGCTGGAGGGGGCCAGGTGGCTGAGACCTGTGCCGTGCCGGGGTCGTGGTGCCCCCTTCCTGCTCCAGAGACCCCATCACTGCTGGCTTGCCTGCTGGCCCTGCACTCAGGCAGTGCCCGGCCGAGACTTAGGGGCTCCCAGGGCCTGGCCACGTCTGGCTCTGCATCATGGTCTGCTGGCCGCGTGCTCCAACATCAGGCACCGTTAAAACATGGGCTGTTTGGCGACTTTAATCACCTTTTTGTGAGTTAGGCGTAATGGTTTATAATCACACATGCATGTAGGCGCAGGTCTTGTTTTACTGTGCTTTGTACATACTGCCTTTTTTTTTAAACAAATTGAAGGCTTATTGAGATCCTGTGTCAAGCAAGTCTATTGGCGCCATTTTTCCAACAGCATTTGCTCACTTTGTGTCTCTGTGTCACATGTTGATAATTTTCACATTATTTCAGACTCTCTGATTATTATATCTTGATTTGTTGTGGTATCTGTGGTCAGTGATCTTTGATGTTACTACTGCGACTTAAGGCTCAGATGATGGTTAGTATTTTTAGCAATAAAGCATTTTTTAATTAAGGTATGTACCTTGTGTGGGGGCATAACGCCATTGCACGCATTAACAGACCACAGTATAGTGTAAACACAACTTTTATATGTACTGGAAAGCCAAACGCTTCATGTGATTGGCTTTATTGCAATGTTGGCTTTATTGCAATGTTGGCTTTATCCGGGTGCTCAGGAACGGAACCTGCAGTGTCTCAGAGGCCTGCCGACACAGCCGCTCGGGCAGCTGTGTGCTAACCCGCTACAGCCCAGGAATGAGATCTGAACGGTAATTTCATCACGAAGCCAGTACTAAGCTCCAGTGAATGTTGATGTTTGAAATTCTTTTTTAGAAAAGGGTAAGAGAAAATGAGAGGAACATTTGCAGGAGGTACAACTGGGCTTAGACTTTTACCCAGAAGTAAATCTCAGGAGTCACCGAAGACCACACACAGCGTTGACCTGAGCAGAAGAGACCGGGTGGCGCAGGGTCGGCCATGAGGCTCACGCTGTCTGCTTCCTGCAGTGCCCGCCCGAGGACGAGGCCTATTTCATAGCCAAGGAGATCCTCACCACGGAGCAAACATACCTGAAGGATCTAGAAGTTATTGCTGTGGTATGAGACCTGCCTCCTTTGTTACTTTGATTGTCTTAATGCTCCTTAAATCCGGACCAGAGACCAGGGATCCCTCCTCGGCCATCTTGAGACCTGCATGTATATGTTCTGTTAACTATATTTGCCTTAAAACCCGTCTAAGGTCAGGATATTAGGTCCAACCATTTAGGAAGCTGGGAATCGATCCCCTTGAAGCTTTTTGCCTAGAATGTTCCCCTGTATGGTGGAAACCAGGCAGTGAGCCCGGGCCTCAGGGGTGCCTGGGATCCGGGGGCCAGGCCCACAGCCAGCTCTTCCGCCGCAGTGGTTCCGGAGCACGCTGGTCCAGGAGGACGCCATGCCGGCTGAGCTCATGCACCTGCTGTTCTCCAGTGTGGACCCCATCTACGACTTCCACAAGGGCTTCCTGCACGAGGTGGAGCAGAGGCTGGCACTCTGGTAACGGCCCTTCCCGCCCAGGCCCTGCAACTCAAGGGAGCCATTGTCTCCTCGAAATACGGATTTTTTTCCTTTCTTGTTTGGAAGTGGGGTCGGGGAGAGGAATGAGATTTGTTCGTTTACTTTTATTAATGAGGGAGGACTGGGACTGAGCCCAGGACCTGTGCAGGCTCCACCCCTCCTGGAAACACTTTAAAGGAGGAGGTGGCCCCACCGACAGGCCCAGGCCGCCCTGATCCAGGGGAGAGCCAGTGAAGCAGGTTAAAGTGGGGACCCCCCTGCCCATGACCCTCGCGTGGGGAGCAGCCCGCTGCCTCCTGGTCTCTGTCCGGGTCCCGGTCCTGCGTTAGAGTCCTGGCGCTGCCTTGGCTGTAGCGCTGGTGTTGGTCCAAGTGCATCCCACCAGCTCTCACAGGGTTTTGACCCAGTCCATCCATCTCTGCCCCAGGGAAGCATCAGCCAGCGCTCCGGCCGCCCGCGGCCGCTGCCGCATCGGGGACATCCTGCTCAGGAACATGCTGCAGCTAAAGGTGTGCTGGGTGTCGCCTCCAGTCCGGGCCCCTCGGACACCCTGTCAGGGTGGCTCCACCCTCAGGGCACCTTTCCCGCAGGAAGGCGTCCCGACAGGACCTGACCGGCCCGCGGGTCCCCAGAGCAGGGTTCCTCGGCGTTCTTCCGCCGGGACACGTTCCCCTCGGGACGGCGCCCCCATACACCCCCCAGGGCAGCATCCCCGTCGGGGCGGG